GGCACTTTCACTTAATTTTTTTAACGTTTTTCTAAAAAATTTTGCACATCACCGATCGCATTTTACGCGTTTTTGCATCTTACGCAAGTGCAAAAAGCATAATTTAAAGAGCATATCTATGCGACGCCCTCTTCCCCCGCGTGTAAGAAAAAACCAATACACAGGCATACGAGCTGCACGTGTTAACTGCTAACGATCTGACTGCATCAAATTTAGAGGCCCTTCCTCCTGCAGGCCGGAAAGGATCAAAGCACGCCAATATGACCCAGGTGCTAGGCTACAGCGCAGATATCATTCCTGCTAATAGGGATCAACGAGTTTAGTGCAAAAACGCATGATCGCTTTTCTCGCATCTTTCTCCTTATCGCAAAAACTGCAGTGTTCCATTTTGGGCAAAACTAAACCTTCTTTTTTTCCTTCTCAATATTCATGCGGTCTGCACAAAAAAATAAGCAATTTTTCGAATTAAAACTTACAATTTACAGAGTGGCCTTTCGAATTCTGCAGGTATCTGGAAAAATTTAGCTGTCTTCGTGGTACCCGTCAAAGGTTTTACGCCATTCTGGAAATGTCCATTTTCTTTATCATCGCCGGCAGCATTGTTCGAATCGCTTTCGGGAGGCCGTCCATAGAGTTGTGCTAGCAACGTGTATGCCGCATGGTACGGCGTACGTACAACGAAAAACAATGAGGGGTAACCTGAAATGAGCACGGAATACAGACGGGCATAGTTTTCGTTGAAAACAAAAACACGGTAAAATATCTGTCCCCTAATATTTAGCCCGCCTTAACGGAGCTTTCATCCTCTATAAAAAAATAAAATTGCAAGGCGATTTTTGACTTTTGAATATCACTGAAACACCATTAAATCTATAAATTTCAGAATTTTTTGCTCTTTTAATGGTAAAATCAAAAATTCAAAAAAAAAATCGTTCTTATCAAAAGTGAGGCGGATGAATATCTGCTCCCCCAACGTCTAACCCACCTAAGGATGCCACCATTCCTTGTAAAAAATAAAATTGCAAAAAAAATTGCAAGGCGATTTTTGACTTCTGAATATCGCTGAAACATCAATAAATCTAAAAATTTCGGAATTTTTTGCTCTTTTAAGGGTAAAATCAAAAACTCAAAAAAAAA